CAGTAAGGCTCAGAGCCGTGCCGAACACTGTATAGTGCAGAGAGTAGCTTGAAGGAACAGGAAGCATTATTATTTCAGTGCTGCGATGAACCTTGTGAAGCTAGCTGGCTTGCAGGATATGAAGACTGCAGACGATATCTGCTCGAGAGCGAATGGGTGGGGTATTTTATGACGATGATGAAGCTTGAAGTTTCCAAAGGTTGTTGGTTGCGTATTCAAATCACGTCGGGGTCACCACTGTGGCCGTGGAAGGAAAATGGGAGATCTCCCGCCGGGCAAGGTGTTCTGCCCGGGGAGCGGCCAACACTCCGAGTGATAGTTCGGAGAAGTTCTATATATACTGTTTATGATTCGGAATGTTGATAGCGCGATTTAGGCTTCGGTGTGTTTTCGCTTGTGGCGCGACGACAGCGCCACTACACCTGCATATATGTTATTCTTATATTTTCGGAGTTTATAACCCATGTTGGCCTTACATATACACAAAGTTTCTATTGTTGACGCTCATGTGCTATGTTAGTCTTTTACTTAACAATTTCTCAAAAAGTTTTCAGATTACATTTATAAGACCAATAGGGCGATAAGAGGAAGGATCGGAGTAGTCTGATTTATAAAATTTGGGAGGTATGATGGCATGTGCAATTTTCCATTGCTTTGGAAAGTAGGATATTTCAAAACATCGGTTTAGTAGTTTATCTGTGGCGGTTTTATATATTGTTGTGAATGCGAAGCAAATATCCGCGGTTAGATGGTTGGATCCTGGAGCTTTATTCGGACTGATTGTTTTGAGACAGTCGATTACTTCTTCTTCTGTAAAGAAACGATCATCTGAGGTATTTTGTTCATAATACACACTTTGTCTAAGTAGCTTTTGTTTTTCCGTGTCATCTTCTGTGTCATTAGGATAAAACTTATTTAGGAGAACATAAGCCGTTTCTTTAGATGTTGTGGTGAAGTTTGCTGGAGTTACTCGGATTGTAGATGGAAGCACAGGTTGTGGAGAATTCTTTAAAAGCCTATTTGTTAACGACCAGACATCTTCTTTGCCTTGTTTGTTACGAAATTCCTTAAAATGCTCTGTGGATGCTTTCCTAATATCGTCCAAATATTCTTGTTTTAATTGTTTTCTTTCCAGTAATACACGGTATAGTGGTTTCCGGCTACGCTTCATTGCTTGGATTATGTGATGCAGTTTAATTACGCCAAGGTTAAGTGTTTCTAGTTCAGAATTCCACCATGGAATATATGTTTTAGGTATTCCTTTATGTTTAAATACTTTTGTTATGTCCTTAACATAATTATCTATGTCCTGTACGTTGAAAAGTTCTATGTTTTTAGTTGTTAACTGTTCCTTTTCCATTGCCATTTTTATCTGATTACAAAATGTGGACCAATCAGCATTTTTGTTGCTGTATCTGTAAGTCGTGAATTTCTTTTTTCGATGTAACGTGTCAATATTAAGTTTTAAAAGGAAGTCTATAGCATTATGTTCCGATGAGGGGCATGTATTCATATTTACCTGCCATCCATCTATTTTATTTGATATATTTGCTGATGCCATTGTCAAATCTATAAATGAACTTCGGCTTGCCCCATGGGTCACTGTCTCAAAAGTTGGAAATTCACCGTCATTGAAGACTATAAGAAAATTTTGACATAATTATATCGTGCACGTTACGACCCTTTTGATTAGAAATATTGGAGCCCCAAGCAGTATTCCATCCATTAGAATCACCTCCAATTATAATACCCTTAAGAAAAAGTTCCAAGTGATTAAATGTGTTGTTCATATCATTAATAGGTTCTACGTAAACGCTGATGAGGAATTACTGATATTTAGTATTAAGAAGTTGCACTACACACATGTTAGCTGTTGAGAATTTACGTATACCTAAAATTGAACCAAGGTTCGTCCTGACGATGATGCATGCTTTTACACGTTCATTGTTTGTAAATTTATATATTCATATCCCTGAATATTTTTAACAATATTGAGATTGCCTATGTAAGGTTCAGATATGAGCCCTATATCATAGTTGTTGTTCATAAAGTAATTAATAAATTCATGGTGGCTAACATAACTTTTGTCAAGGTTAATTTGAATTATTTTAAGCGTTTCTGAATTGGGTGGATGCGATTTTTGCTCGTTAGAGGTAAAGGCGTAGTATGTCTATTGTCCATAATCAGTCTGTTCGTCGATTTTATTTTTAAGATTTTTAATTCGAGGGAACAGTTTAGCGTTTGTCGCTATATGATTTGTGTCGATTTTGCAATTGCTTTTAATGTTAAAGTTGTGAGAATTGAAACGCTTCCGTTTATTTTCTGTTTCCTTAAAGAGGCAAGAAGTGATGTTATGTTCTTCAGAAGCACACTGTGCACAGCGGTTGGTTTCTGAAGTGCACTTATTTTTCGTATGGCCGTACAGTAAACACTTATAGCACTGTACGAATCGGGAATATGGCTCTATATGCAATCCCTGGTGGTCAATTACAATGCGTCCAATATGAATAACACTCTTGTGTAATTCCGGTTTCACTTCGAAAACAGCGTTGTATAGGTTTTCGTTTCTATTTGAAGTGGCAAAGCAGAGACGAATGTTGCCTTTGGGTAAAGAGTTTTGATGTTCAATTATATCAATTAACTCGTTCTTTTCTATGTGTTTTGATATGCCCTTAAGTATTACTAATGGTGGACGTCTTTTACTTTCTTCTGCTTGCAATCCTTCTATTTTATTGATGCGTGCTATAGTTTCTTGACTCTATGACTTTGTATAAAATTTTATTCTTACTTTCCGGTTAAATCCTGTTTGTACTTTAGCTGGTGCGTAAGTTTCCTTCTTGAAGGATACACTTTTCCTTCACATAATTAGCACTTCTTGTGGCTTAGTGTTGGGATCTGTCGATTGTATTATTATCGATGGCTTATATGTTTTTAATTTATGATTCAACTCGGCTGGGCAGCGTTCGGGAAATTACGACACATCTTCTCGTCGAGTATACCTAAATCTCTGAAAACTAAAGTGTATAACCAGTGCGTTTTGCCAGTGATGACTTACGGGTCTGAGACGTGGTCACCGTCACCGCTGGCCGTATGAGGACGCTTAAGGTCGCTCAGCGAGCTATAGAGAGAGCTATGCTCGGAGTTTTTCTGCGTGATAGACTCAGAAATGAGGATATCCGCAATAAAACCAGAGTGACCGACATAGCCCAACGAATGAGTAACCTAAAGTGGCAATGGGCCGGCCATATAGCTCGAAGAACCGATAACCGATGGGGAAAAAAGGTTCTCGAGTGGCAGCCTCGTACCGGTAGGCGTAGTGTAGGGCGACACCCCACTAGATGGAGTGACGACCTAGTAAGACATGCAGGAAGTCGATTGATGCAGGTGGCTCAGGACCGTGCTTTGTGGCATTACTTGGGGGAGGCCTATGTTCAGCAGTGGACTTGTGAAGGGCTGTAATGATGATGATGATGATGATATGTGTTACTCCGAGTGCGCTTGGCGAGCCCTCTTCGGATGTGTGCTGGTGGACTGCGGCGAAAGGGGTGTCCTCACCACCTACCGCTGCAGCCGAGGTGGAGTCGCCGAGTTAGGTTAGGTTAGGTTAGGTTAGGTTAGGTTAGGTTAGGTTAGGTTAGGTTAGGTTAGGTTAGGTTAGGTTCCCCCCACCCTACGCGTTCCCGCCTTTTCGTGGCGCGGGGGGCTTAGTAGCCGTGGCTTGGTCGCCCGCGGTGAACAAAGAGGAACCCACGTGGCTGGCCCGAGGGGAAGGGCCGGCCCGAGGTGGCCACTACAAGTGGGCTTGGGAAGCCCACTTCGGATGTGCGTTGGTGGACTGCGGTGAGAGGTGTATCCTCACCACCTACCGCTGCAGCCGAGGTGGAGTCGTGGAGGAAGAGGAGTGTTGGTATGGCGATGCGCCACTCGCCCTATCCTCCGCGACTCAAACGGGGCCGCACCGTTGATGCGGTGGTGGTGGGGCTGCGGGGGGAGAGGATTGTCGGTATTGCGAGGCGCCGCTCTCCCTACCCTCCGCAGCCGAATCTTGGTTGGCGGCGGAGCCATAGACCAGATCCGCCGCTGGGGTCGGGAAGGCTAGTACTTCTAAGTGCTGGTTTTTCCAGGCCCCATGGCCTTCGTGCATTGGACGCGGGGGCGTCTGTTGCGGCGATGTAATTGTAGGCCGTGGAGGAAGGCGCGCCATGTGTTCTGGTGCGCCTTACTTGGGAAGGAGAACGGGGAGGAATATTCCTCTCCCGAGGAGGTGCTGCCATGGGGCGGCAGTCGCTGGTAGGGCCGCGGAAATGTGCGAAAGCGTTCCCGTAGCCCTGCCAATATGCGTCGAAGGTGGAACACCATGGGGTTTTAGTCGGGACATAAGCCGTCCTTGCCCCCGCGAGGCGGGTATGCGTAGGCATTTCCCCGTGTTAAAAAAAAAGGGTTAGGTTAGGTTAGGTTAGGTTAGGTTAGGTTAGGTTAGGTTAGGTTAGGTTAGGTAAGGTTAGGTTAGGTTAGGTTAGGTTAGGTTTTTTTTTTCTATGTTAACTACTGCTATTCTGCAGTACCTTTCTTACTTTTATGTTATGCTAAGTATCATTTTTACTAAGTTTTTTTTGTCGCACGTATCGCTATACTTTCTTTCCTACTTCAATTGTTTACGTACTTTCTATTTTCTTGAGGAAGCATAATTACACTGCAATATTTACGTACTTTATGACGCTAACACTTACTATACTATATTATACTATATGTTTCTTTTTATTTATATTATATTTATATGCATATATTATACAGTTTGACGCTTTTAACTTCTATGGCGATGGTTTGTTAGTAACAATATTTTCAATAATATCTTACATACAAGTGTTTGTTTTTAATGGTAGATTTACATTATTTATTTTTTTTATAATGTTTTTTTTTTGTCTTTCTGCTTACTCTTTTCTTTTCCCTTTTTTTTCTTTATATATTTTTTTTCACTTACGCTTTTTTTTCTTTTATGCGTTTACATCAATTGTGTCTTATAATCAACTATAGGTTAGGTTAGGTTAGGTTAGGTTAGGTTAGGTTTTTTTTTTTTATACGCTTTTTCCCGATCATGGGATCATCGGGTCCTTATTAATCTATATTACTCATACATTCCAGTTCTCGCATGTATTCGCACTTTCAGGCCGCATACTTATTCTTTCTTTTATTCATCCACGCTCATTCTTTGCCGGGTGGGACTCCCGCTACTCTATGCCTACTATTTCTTTTGTTTGGGAAAATAAAGTTTCATATATTTTATTTATTTTCTGTTATATCCTCGATGGTATTTACACTTTACATATACTATTTAAGCTTTCCAATTACTACACTACATACTACATACTTATTTTTATTTAACTTGCAAATTTACTTATTTTACATATTTATTGGCTTACAGCTACTGTACTTATCATTACTTCTTAATTCCTACGGTTACTATTTCTTAGTTCTATTTTAACATTTATAAGTCTAACATCAATATATACCTACTATTTTCTATCATCTTATTTCTAACATTTTTCATTGCTTTTTCTTAATTCTATTCTTATATTTATTATCTAAATAGCAGTAAAACTTATATCTATTTATTTTTAACATTTGTAATTAACAATTTCACAGGCCTTAACAGTTATGCACGTATCAGTATTGGTGAGTTTCCTTCATGTGTCTGATTTTCTACTTACTTCTATGTTTTAATCAAGCTTGTCCTAGGCAATAATATATATATATATATATATATATATATATATATATATATATATATATATATATATATATATATATATATTGTCCATTTCTTTTGCTAGTTTTTATTTCATGCAATTTTTTCTTTTGTGTTGTGTTAGTGTTTGTGATTCATGTAAGTGTTACTGTGCTGATATAATCGTGTATATTTTATTATACATTCTGTATATCAGTTGTGTTCATTTCGTCGTGTATTTCATGTTTGTGTGTGTCGTGTTTATGTTCCTGTGTGCTTTGTGGCTGTTTGTACATGTAGTGTAATTTGACGTAAATGTTTCAGGCATAGGCCGTGTTTGCACGAGCCAGGTAGTCCCACTTTTTCCGTACAGGGCAGTCTGAACTAAATGCATTATGGTCGGTCCTCCGCAACCCAGAGTGTGAGCAGTTGCAGCACTGTGGTTCATTCCCAGCGGAAAATTCTGCGCATCTCTCGCGGAGATGCGGTCCTCCACAGTGGCTACATTTGTCCACACTCTCGGTGCAAAACTTCCGACCATGTCCAAACGCAAGGCATCTCGTGCATTGGATGAGCTGGTCCTCGACTCTGACCCTTTGAAGGTCCAGATAGAGGGCTCCAGCCTCCGTCATCCTCTGCCATACTTTAGGCTTCACCTGAAGAATGATGTGAACTGTCTTCTGGTTTCTTGTCCGTTTTTTAAATTTTATTGCCATTTCCATGTCATCTTCATTTAGGCCAAGGAAAACGTCTTTGTTTTGAGCGTAGAGCGCCTTTATTATATCTTCGTCTTCACTGTCCATAAAGACATCTTTCAGGATGACGAGAGGATCCTT